ACAAACAACACAGAAATCAATAGATACAGCGATAGCAAGAGGCTTGACATCTGCGAGGCTCTACACATCAAGAAGTCAACACCAGCCAATTAATATACAATTATATTCTACCAACTTCAAGACTCCCCACCAATATAGAAGCATTAAGAAATATGGGCCAATAGGCCCTTTGCAGTTACTTCCATTCTTCCCTTTAATTTACCCAATTTATACTCGTTGCTCCGTGTTCTGTATTGTGTTGAAAGTTTGCTCTATCTTGTGTTGAAAGTTTTGTTCACCTCATCCAAAACTGTTGTAACATATCACCTCACCCAAATGCGGGTATATATGATGAAAGCTGTTTAAATGATAGCATAGTAGAACTCTGTTTAGTGTTTGCAGGTTATAGTTGTGTGTGTGTAAACTAAAGTCTTTGAAAATGTAATAAGTTATTACGAAACGCGTTCACGTGTCGCGTCAGACTAGAAAGAAAAATGAATTTTGGAGAATTGATTTTCCAATTACCATCGACAGTGAAAAGAAACATAAGAAATATTGAGAAAATTTGTGTTAGAATTTTTTTCGGTCATATTTAATAATATATGTCTACAGAAAAGAATGCTACCAAAATATACTAATATATATATATATATATATATATATATATATATATATATATATATATATATATATATATATATATATATATAATATTAATGCATATATATATATATATATATATATATATATATATATATATTAACAAGTATATTAGTATATTAAGCAATCGACATGCTCCTGGGAGTATGGGTTCGAGTCACTTCTGGGGTGTGAGTTTTCAGTTGCATATTGTCCTGGGGACCATTCAGGCTTGTTCACACATATATATATATATATATATATATATATATATATATATATATATATATATATATATATATATATATATATATATATATATATATATATTAGCATATTTTGGTAGCATTCTTTTCTGTAGACATATATTATTAAATATGACCGAAAAAAATTCTAACACAAATTTTCTCAATATTTCTTATGTTTCTTTTCACTGTCGATGGTAATTGAAAAATCAATTCTCCAAAATTCATTTTTCTTTCTAGTCTGACGCGTTTCGTAATAACTTATTACATTTTCAAAGACTTTAGTTTACACACATTTACACACATATTTTGGTAGCATTCTTTTCTGTAGACATATATTATTAAATATGACCGAAAAAGTAAGATTAATAATTATAACACGAATTTTCTCTATCTTTCTTGCGTTTCTTTTCACTGTTGATGGTAATTCAAAGATCAATTTTCCAAAATTAATTTTTATTTCAAGTCTGACGCGACACTTGAGCACGTTTTGTAAAACTTATTACATTTTCAAAGACTTTAGTTTACAAACACACAACTGAAACTGAATAGAGCTTACACATCTTCAAGTTTATATCTACATTTGGGTGAGGTGGATGAGGTGAAAACAAACTTTCAACAATGGGTATTAAATGGGTATGAAATTCAAACACAAGACAGAACACGAAACAATAGGTATTGAATGGAAGTAATTGTAGAAAGCCTATTGGTCCATATTTCTTGATGCTTCTATATTGGAGTGGAGTCTTGAAGTGGGTAGAATATAGTTGTGCATTAATTGGCTGTTGATTGCTGGTGTTGACTTCTTGATGTGTAGTGCCTCGCAGACGTCAAGCCGCCTGCTATCGCTGTATCTATCGATGATTTCTGTGTTGTTTGCTAAGATTTCTCTGGTGATGGTTTGTTTGTGGGAAGAGATTATATGTTCCTTAATGGAGCCCTGTTGCTTATGCATCGTAAAACGTCTGGAAAGAGATGTTGTTGTCTTGCCTATATACTGGGTTTTTTGAGGCTTACAGTCCCCAAAAGGGAATTTAAAGTCAAAGACGACGTTGGTCTCTTTTAAAGCGTTCTGCTTTGTGTCTGGAGAGTTTCTCATGAGTAGGCTGGCCGTTTTTCTGGTTTTATAGTAAATAAATATAGTATAGTAAAAGTTCCTGTAAAATAGTCTAATTGGGGGTATCTGAAGAGACAACTAACACAACACCTATACCCCCTATTAGACTATTTTACAGGAACTTCTTTTCCACAGCCCATAAAACGGAGGAAAGGGTCCTGAAAGATATTGTCAGTAGAAACGTTATCCATACAGACAAAAATCAGAAGATACAACTGACGATTTACTATAAAACCAGAAAAACGGTCAGGGGACTCGAGAGGTAGGAATTCTTGGGTATTTTACCAACCAGAACTCCAATCCTCTCCCAGGCAATAAGATAGTGTGGGACCTCTGGTGCTCTTTCATCGAGCTCTGTTATGTGGGAGAACTCAGTGCCAAATACTTAATGCACAGACTAGCCTATAAACCACTAGCTGAAGTTCATAACTTTTTAGTCACTCAACCCACCAGGGGACTCGAACACTGGCCAACAAGGTGGCAGTTGCACGCTGTAATCACTACTCTCTAATGGCTTTAAAGTATGGTGTAGTGGATTCAGCGTGCAACTGCCACCTTGTTGGCTTCCATCCTGAGCTGTGGCTGAGAGAACGGTCGAGATTAGCGTTAACAATACTTCTCTTGTACCTGTCTTGGCAGTCGCTGTTGGCATTGAGGCACATTCCTACATTTGTTTCCTTAGTGTAGACTGCAGTGTGGAAACCTCCGCTCCTTTCCATGACTGTTACATCTAGAAAGGGCAGCTTCCCATCCTTCTCCATCTCGTAAGTGAAACGCAACACAGAATTCCGCTCAAATGCCTCTTTCAGCACCTGCAGATGTCTAACATCAGGTACCTGTGTAAAAATGTCGTCAACATACCTGCAGTATATGGCCGGTTTCAAGTTAATGTCGACTAAGACCTTTTGTTTGATGGTATCCATGTAGAAGTTCGTAAACAGGCCCACTTCGGCCAATCATCAGCCAGATACCCACATCCACGTACAGACTGGCGAAGCGACTCAACGGCTTGCTGACTCCTTATGTCCCTTGCACCTTCAGCCTGAAGTCTCCAAAGGAATTTGTTGACTTACTGTGCGGAACACGGGCCACAGGGATAAGAGCCTCGATGAACGTAGAATCACTGTTTACCAACGTACCTGTGGATGAAACAATCGGGATGATAGCGGACAGAGTGTATCGTGATCTGGCCTGTACTCCTCTTGACATACCAGAAAACATTCGAAGGAAACTACTCCAAGCTTGTACTAAAGAGGCACCCTTCTTGAGCCGGGATGGGCACATGTATAAGCAAGTTGATGGGATCGCCATCGGTTCTCCCCTAGGTGTCCTGTTTGCGAACTTCTACAACTTCTGCCTCTTTAGTGCAGGCTTGTAGTAGTTTCCTCAGTGTGTTTTCTGACATGTCAAGAGGAGTGCAAGCTGGGTCACGATACACTCTATCTGCTATCATCCCGATTGTTTCGTCCACCGGCACATTGGTAAATAGTGACTCTACATCCAACAAGGCTTTTATCCCAGTGGACTGCGCTCTCTGCAGTAGGTCAACAAATTCTTTAGGAGACTTTACGCTGAAAGTACAAGGTGCATAAGGAGTCAGCAACCCGTTGAGTCGTTTAGCCAGTCTGTATGTGGGTGTGGGTATCTGGCTGATGATTGGCCGAAGTGGGGCTCCCGGCTTGTGGGTCTTGACATTTCCATATGCATACCCAGGTTTGTATTCCCCAACAACTTTTGGCAGGTGGAGTCCGGATTTCTTGGCATTCACAGTTTCGATCAATCTGTTTACCTTCGTTTTCAATTCGGCTGTAGTGTCTTTCGTTACCCTATGGAATTTGGTTTGGTCGGGGAGTATGAGGTTCATTTTTGCCAGATATTCGTCTTTTCTAAGAATACCGTATATTGGCGACTTGTCACATCTCCTTGTTCTCACGAAGGCTCTTAGCTGCCGCTTTGAGTTCATGGGACAGTATGGTGCTTCTGTAGAAGAAACAGGGCTCCATCACGAAACATATAATCTCTTCTCACAACCTGACCATCACCAGAGAAATCTTTAGAAACAACACAGAAATCATCGATAGGTGCAGTGATGGCAAGCGGCTAGACATCAGTGAGGTACTACACATAAAAAAGTCAACACCAGCAATGAACAGCCAATTAATGCACAACTATATTCTACCCACTTCAAGGTCCCGAACCAATAGGGAAGCAACAAGAGAAACTATGGGCCAATAGACCTTCTGCAGTTCTCATATCCAATTTATACCCATTGTTTCGTATTCTGTCTTGTGTTTGTCATAAGTTTGTTCACCTCACCCAAAACCTTTGTACCATATCACCTCACCCAAAATGTTTATAAGTTCGATGAATCTGTGTGTAAATTAACACTTTGAAAATGTAATAAGGATTACGAAACGTGTTCAGTCGTCAGACAATTAAAAATTAATTTTCGAGAATTGTTATTTTTATTACCACCGAAAGTGAAGAAAAACCTAAGAAATATTGAGAAAATTCGTGTTACAATGATTAATCTTATTTTTTCGATCATGTTCAACAACATATATATATATATATATATATATATATATATATATATATATATATATATATATATATATATATATATATATATATATATATATATATATATATATATATATATATATATATTCATATCGAGCAACTTCATGAAGTACAATATGGGTCTACTCTTTTACAGGGGGTATAGGGTTTAACGCCCCTCAAAGGGCCAACCCAGATAACTGTATGACACTCTCCAATACAATTACCAGTGATCCTGTAAAGTTTAATGAACTAGCCCTAAGTTCGCTCCCTTCAATCTTGTACTGACAGACAAATAGGCAGACTATTTTACAGATAAGGATTTATTTTAATTGTTTTAATAATTATAAAGGAATAATTATCTGTAATTACATAATAAAAAAGGGGATCTCTGTTTTTCTCTGTGACATGTAATACTGTGGTGATGTTGTTAATATGAATTACTGTTATTCCCACAGGAGTTGCAAGGCTTGGCCAGGGACCACAGCCGCCTCAGGATAATCAAGTTTGGTAAGAAGAAACTCCTCTCTCATTATCTATCTTTCTCTTGCTAGTTCATCATCTCATTACTCTTCTCTCCTACCTTCTTCTCTGCCTACTCATCTGCGATCCTGTTTGTCTGCCTGTCTTCCATCTTCTTCCCAGAACTTGCCTACAGCCTGTGCTACATCTCCAGCAGTAGTGAGGTTGAGGACTAGAACTGTGTGTGACACCTGCTACAGGTGTGTCCGCGGACACACCTGTCACAGGTGAGGGCGTGGGAACCATCTCAAAGGGTGAGATGGGTGCCCCCTCCCACGCGGCTCTAGTCCTCAGGTAGAATAATAGTTAGGACTAGATCCGTGTGTGGCATCTGGGACGTGTGTACCAGTGGGCACACCTGTCACAGGTGAGAGGGGCGCTGGGAAACCAGCTCAAGTGTTGAGAGTGGTGGCCCCGCCCGCCCGCCTGCACGGTGTTAGTCCTTAGGTTGAATAATGAGCTGAGTTGTGTGTAGAGAGGATAAGGCGAGTAAGTGAAGCAGCAGGAGTGTGTAGTATATGTACATGTATGTAATATGGAAATGTACGTGTTGGTACCGTAGAGTTAAGTCGCATATGTATATATATATATATATAGTAAAATAGTTGCAAACTCTGTGAGCAGGAACTACGGCACGATCTCCCGCACTACATCACTGAATGCCCAGTTATTAAACCTTTCAGACCAGTTGGCATGAGGTACCTGGAGCTTTGCAATTACTTTAATCACTCTCATATTCTTGAAAATATCCTCACAGTGTACCCAAAATTTGCCAGTGCAGGCTACTAAACATATGGCCCTGTATGACTAACCATCCTGCGAGATGGGGAGATGGGGACTTTTATTACCACTGTTACCTTATTCAATCTTGTGTTGATGATATCCTCAAAATGCATCCGGAGTCTGCCAGTGCAGACTGCTTATCACGTGCCTCTGTATGACTAACCATCCTGTGTGATGGGGATTTTATAGGATCACGTAGTTAGCAGTTTTGACACACTGTATTCCACTTCATATAGTCTAGGGTAGCTGCCCTAATGCAGATGTGCCCTAATGCAGATGTACCTAATGTATTAATAAAAAAAATAGTTAAATAATAATAGTATGTAAGATGGAGAAGTCTATGTTGAGCGAGGAGAGGCCTCCCACCATGAGAACACAGGAATAGGAGACCGAATATATTAAGGTGTATGGTTAGGGATGGGTCTGCGAAGAAGGGGCCACCAAGTGAGGTCTCTGGGTGGTACTGGCAGTGGCCCTCACACTCTCCTTCTCTCATGTTTAAAACAATAATGTCTGTGGTATGTTAGTTAGCAAAGTTAAGATGATCCCAGTAAGGATAGTTGACAGTTTGAAGGAGAAGTGTATATTTCCAACAGGATACTTCTTACCACTGCCGCCTCCACCTACTGCTTCATATCACACAAACACACGACGGAAGAGTTGGGTCTCTCAAGGCAGTTGAGAAAGCCGTCAACACACTCTAAGAGGGGACATTAGTTCGTGACATACACGAGTGCTTGATTAAAGGTGTTCATGGCAGCGCATCTCTGCTGGTTATGAGAGGGGAGTGAGGTATCCATTATATTTGTAAACAATGTCCCCCTCCCCCCCTCTCCTCCTCTCCCCTCCCCTTAAGCCTACACTTTTTGGAGTTCCGCATACATGCCATATGGCGCATACCACATGCCACATAATGCATGGGCCATACCACATGGCTAGGAGGTTTGAGTTCGTCACTGGCTCAGCTTTCATAGTTATGTATTACCTTATCTTAGAGGTGACTTATGCCCCCCTCACACACATAACACACAAGGGTAAGGAAGCTCTCACAATGACCTAGGAGGTTACATTAGTCCATGGTAAAAACAGGGGAGAGAGGAGCAGCCTACCCTTTTTGATGGGTGGAGTGGAAGTGTGGTATACGAGTGGGAGGGGGGGAGTATTTGTCAACAATACCCCCACCCTGTCCCCCCTTTGTGCGCTCCCCTTCACCTAGCTCTCATCGGTGGGTGTGTGAGTATTTTGTAACATTGTATGGACCTTCCTAATTCTAGATATTCTGTTTATTTCGCCTTGTTTTTTTTTTAAATAGGTTGGCGGATAGGCTGTTCCATTTTAATGTTACTAGGTTTTTTGTTGTTGTTAGGAGGTGTGTATCTGTTCCTCTCCATCTCAGCTTTCATAGTTGTTTTTGACTGTCAGCCCTCATCATATCACACACAGGAGATCTTCGCTTCTGAGGTACAAGAGTTCAACACCTGGTGTGTGGGATCAGCGACTCTCACATCTGGATTATGCCGCTTCTAGCCTACTCGATACAAGACTGTCGCATGTTTATGTCAGAGAAGCGTATCAACACTACTGGCGCTCCTACCCCCCTCCCGCCTTACACTTACCACCAACCGTTCACTTGACATCCCTCAGGGTTAGCACTCTACATGCATGTCTCAGTATTCAGAGCAATAAATAGTTAAGGGGCATAAACCCTTTTATATATAATTTTATTCATTTATTAAACACTTAAGACATTTACAACGACAATAATAATAATAATAATAATAATTATAAAAATAACACAAGTAGTTCTTTGCTTCACTTTGTGAGTAGGCCGACAGAGAGACAGTCATCTCGACCATCGTAGCATCTACAGCGTTTCCATTATCTTAGCAGTAAAGCGAATTTCAAACAGACATTAGCTTCTACCATCAAGCTTAGTTTAAAGTTTTTCCAATCTTTAAAGTAATAATATGATCATCAAGTCCGTATATATCAAAATCAATGTGATTGAGTGTTTTACACCTCGTAACGTAACGTGACCAATATGCAAACATCGTTCTTTCCACAATTAACATTTTTGTGACTGAAGCGACCACACGAGTCATAAATACTCATACTCCGCCCAAGTAAAACAGAAACAACCAACACTTAGTGGGCCAGCCAGAGGCTTAGGGCCCGCGCAGGAATATCCCTGCAAACAAAAAAAAAATTGTTTAAGAAAAACTAGTATCGTAAGACAGTCTTATACCTTATTCTAGCATATAAATATTACTGTGTGACTGTCTTTGTTTAGTCCTTGTAACATAATGTAACGTAACGTGGAAATTGGCTTTCTGCTGTCCAAAATATCATTTTTGAAATGTAAAGCATGTCTAGTCCTTCTCCATTACATCCAACATCAAACAAATATTACTGTGTGACTGTTTTTTTAGATCTTGTAACACACATTGTAACGTAATGTGGAAATTGTCTTTCTGCTGTCCAAAATATAATTGTTGAAATGTAAAGCATGCCTAGTCCATCTCCATTACATCCAACACCAAATAAATATTACTGTGTGACTGTTTAGTCCTTGTAACACAATGTAACGTAACATAACGTGGAAATTGGCTTTCTGCCATCCAAAATACAGTATCATTTTTGAAATGTTAAGCATGTCTAGTCCATCTCCATTACAGCCAGCACCAAATAAATATTTTTTGCACGTTCCTCTTTCCTTTTCTGTTTGTATTGTTACTTCCTTTTGTGTAGATCTTGCTTAGGGTCTTGGAGTAACACACATGTACTTGTTGGCTTTATTACTTGAGGTAGAATAAATATCAGCACACCAAGGGCCTATACATCCTGCCTGTATCTAGGTCTGAGAGGAACTGACTGGCTGACTAGGAAAGGCGGCTACTGCACGCTCTGAAGAATGACGTCATGAGGCTCTCTGGCCACCGGATTGGTTGCTCACCAACCGATATAGAATTTAAAGGCTAACACCGCTCATACATGCTACCAAGTCGACGTCCCTTGTCGACAATCTCTGGCTAGCTAATTACAATAATAATGAAGGACTCTTGGTGGCAAAAATAATGGCTTACATGCATAGTTTCAGAATAAAAATTGTAAGATTGGATCAGGTGTGTATAATACTAACATCGCTTGGCATGGGCATAAAAATTAGATCATATATGAACATTGCATCAACAGGATCAAGAGTATGAATATGAGCATGTCTTAAGCATCAAGTATGATCAGTACAAAACAGGTATTGTGTAAACAAAATTATCAACATCTTGCATCAATTGCATGTGCTTGGAAAATAATAAAATACAATTATCTGCATAATTGGAACAACAGGTATGACTTAACAACCACAGTGAATCTTATAATTAAATAACAAGATAAAACAAATTATGTACAATATTTACACGGTATATACCAACTGGACCAAGAAGGCTAACATCTTAGTGATAGCAGTCCGGAACACAGGGCTCAATGTGGTTGCTAGAACAGTAATGAAACTCTTGAAGACATGCACTGTAAAAATACAAATAGCACAGTAAGCTTCTCAATGCATCAGAATAAGACACAAAACTTAGTTAAAAGAAGTATACAGTATACAATACATTATTCAGTGATAATGAGATACATGGGGTAGAGTTACCAGAATAATTGCAAGATGCACTTAATTATAAATTTTGCGAATGTCAACCTGTAACTCCTGCAGAGTACTACAAAATTCTGGCTCTGACTGGAGATCAGGAACAGGTGAAACTGCATATGACCCGGTGTCGTCTGGGTTATTAATCTCGTTATTGTTGTATTATAAACACAGGTACTGTAATGCTTACCACTCTCCATAGTGTATAGTAGGTCACTGGAAACGGGAGACCTACCAGAAATATGGAAGACTGCTAATGTAATACCAATATACAAAAAGGGTGACAGACAAGAGGCACTGAACTACAGGCCAGTGTCCTTAACTTGTATACCATGCAAGGTGATGGAGAAGATTATGAGATAAAACCTAGTAACACATCTGGAGAGAAGAGACTTCGTGACAACCCATCAACATGGGTTCAGGGAGGGTAAATCTTGTCTTACAGGCTTGATAGAATGCTACGATCAGGTGACAAAGTTTAAGCAAGAGAGAGAAGGATGGGCGGACTGCATTTTTTTGAACTGTCGGAAAGCCTTTGACACAGTACCCCATAAAAGGT